TGTCTGTGGATGTTAAAGGCACTTGTGTACCCAAGCAGTGCAGGCACATGCTGTCATTGCCTCTGCAGTGCCATCTGGCCAGCAGAGAGGCAGCTAGAACCAGGGCTGTGTGCAGGAGAACATTTTACAACAGAAAGCAATTAACAGAATAAAGCCCTTTTTAAAATCCAGTAATTAAAAACAGTCCCTCCCCCTTGTTTTCCTTTTAAGCTGAAAGTTGCTGTTTACTCATTTGCTTTACAAAGTGTGCCTTGTTGTGGCTTCAGAAGAAATGAAAGTTTGAAGTGGTTAGAGAAGAAAGGCTTTGGGGCTGGTGCGTTCCAGGCAGGGCGGAGGGGCAGGGGTTCTCCAGCCCGGCTTGTTTGTATTTGTTCTTGTCTACTCACAAGATCGCTAAACACACATTTAACAAGTGGTGAAACTGTCTACCAGCCTGATCTCTCCCAGGGTTCATGAGAAGAGGCCTGGCACATTAGCATTGCTGGGGGAAGGGGAGGGGGAGGACAGCCCTTTTGAAGGGTTGGTGTTTTGGGGCTGAGTGAGGAGGGAAGGACTCCTTGCAGGCCAAGTCCCAAACAAAGGCATTGTGTTCCCCCCCGGGATTAGCCCCGGGGGAAGGCCAGGACCTCGCCTCACCAGCCATGGGTTTTCCCATCCCAGCTCCTCCTGTTTCCTCCACGGGTACAGCCCTAAGGCCATCCAAGGCTTTCCAAGGCCAGAGGTGGGAGCGGGGCTGGCACCTCCAGGGCTGGCTCATCCCATCCCCGAGAGCCAAGGAGCCCAGGGTCATGGGGACCATCCTGTGCCACAGCAGGTCACCTTGTCCCCATCACCTTCATCTTGTCCCCATCACCCTCACCTTGTCCCCATCACCCTCATCTTGTCCCCATCACCTTCATCTTGTCCCCATCACCCTCACCTTGTCCCCATCACCAATTCCCTGGCTTGGCCACCCTCTCTGGGTACAAAATACCACAGAGGAGCAGCCCACTGTCCAGTGGCAACAAGACTTTAGTCCACTCTGTGTGGCCACTGACCTCAGGGGGCCCCTGGACAAGCAGCGACCCCTCTGTTGGCAGGTTTGATGCAGTATCAGTTATCACTCGTTGTGGCTTCTCTGTAAAGTGAGTGCCCAGTGCAGCAGCATCATTATGGGTGGGGAAACTGAGGCACGTCAAGGGCCTAACCCACGTGAGGTGTCTGATGCCAAACCATCAGGATGTTCTGCTGATTCCAGAGCAGGATGGTGATCCTGTCCCTGGCTGTCCCTCAGCCCCACTGACCTGGTGGCACAGACTCAAGGGCAGAGCAGCAGCAGCAGCTCCAGGGTGTCCCAGCTCGGCAGGTGCAGCCTCCTGGAGCCTCATCCCATGGGATTTGCAGGGCTGAGCCGCATTCCCAGACCCGCTGTGGGGCAATAGGTGTGAGGACACTGCCAGGGTGGTGAGGGCAGCGCTGAATTTCAGCTCCAGGGTCTGCCCTGTCCCTGCCTGGGGAAGGGTGAGGCCACGGGTTTGTGGGAAAATGTTGTTTTTCCCTCCCCTGGACTGCCCGTAGCAGTCGGCTGGGCGGGCTCTGCATTGCGTGGGCCGGGGAAGTGGGGGGGAGTTTGCAATTGTGGTGCCTCTGGCTTGGAGCAGAGCCACGGCAAACAATCCTCTCCTGGCCCTGCTCCACATCTGACAGAGCACGGAGGTGATACCGAATTCATCCCTCCACGCTTTCATCCCGAACCACCTCCCCAAGGCCCTGCCTGGTTCTGCCGCCTGTGATGAATCTGCTCAGCCACAGAGCAAGGCAGCCTGTCCACAGCCAGGAATCCTGCCCAGCATCCCTGTGAGGCCACTGCCTTGGAAATTACAGCTGTGGCTCTGGCAGGCGGCGGTGGGAGCTGAGGTTAGGAGGTGATGTTGACTGAAGATGTGCGGACAGGGCATTCCAGGCATGCACGGGGTTAAATCAGAGGTGTCAGTTCACGGGGAGGTAACAGATAAGTTCCTGCTCCTCGGCTGCCTCTGGCTTTCCAGAAGCCTTGCCCTCCCTCCCACATTCCAGCTGCTGCAGCTTTTCACAGCTGGCCGCTCTCCTGGGACATTTCCCAGAGCTGGGAAGGCGGCAGGGGAGGGAGCAGCGTGGTCCCAGCATGGGAGGGGGGGGTTGGTGGCTGGGCTGACCATCGCCCCTCCAGGGACACTTAGTCTGGAGCCCTTCATCCCCAGGACAGGCCTGGCACAGGCAAACTTAGGCAATCCCAGCTCCCTGGCAGGGATCCACCCTCAGTCCTGGCCCGGAGAGTTTTTCCTGCTGCAGGGAAGGGACATCAATCTTTGCAGCTCACTTATTCCTTGGCCTCTGAAGCAGGGTAGCCAATTAGTGCTGGGTGTGATGGATGGCTTAGCCCCGTCCTCGTGACACCCATCCTCTGGAAACAGTTCCCACCGCGGGGAGGCACAGCCAGCCGGAGCAGGGGACAGCTCTCACCGGCTCCTGAGTCCCTGAGGGTCTCACTGGGGTCCCAGAGACGGGGACAGGCATTGCAGCAATGCTCGCTGTGATTCCAGAGGGGAAACAGCCCCGAGCACGGGGCCAGCGCTGTTAATTCAGGGCTTGGGGAGAGATTTCCTCTGATAATAATTCCCTGGCTTGGCTGTGGCAAAGCCTGGAGCTCTCCAGGGAAGAGCAAAGCAGAGGTTGGTCACCCACTGCTTGTGGCTCTGCTCTCGGGGTCACTGGACCGTGGGAATTGGCTGCAAAGACACCCAAGGAGGGGCCAGGAGGGGCAGAACCCCCATTTCTGCATCCCAGCTCTCCTTGCCCGCAGTGGGGGAGGTCTGGCTGCTCTCTCCTGTGGGACACGGGTGACACCCCCGAAATCCAGCTCCCCTCACGCGGCTAAATCCATTTAATCCTTCCCTGTCATCTCCACTGAACCGGCCCTTGAGGGGTCTCTGCTCGGTCTGGGGTGGTTCAGATGCCCCTCACAATCCCCCCTGGGATCCCTGGGGTCGATTATGAACGGCTCTCCAGGAGCACAGGCTGGAGGACGGATCCGATTACAGGAGAAGTGGGTTTCAGGGCCCCCGCTCTGTTCATAATGAAGTGTAATCCTAGAAAAACATGTTGCCAATTACACTTCAATTGAACCCAGATAATGATGCTTAGACAGGGCCCAGAAAAGATGGAGTCTGGACAGTGAATTCCTTTCTAATGGAGAAGAAAAGTGTTCCTCTGTGGCAGGTCTGGGCTCGGCTCGGTTCAGGCTCGCTGTGATATGAGCAAGAGCCTGAAACAACCAATCTCAGGATCCCATTTAAATGGTTTTATCAGTGGAAAGAGTATTAATCTCTCAAAAACACATGTTTATGGGAAGTTTGGTTTGGAGATGTATGTGTTTCTAACTGAAATCACTTTGGAAAGGGAGGAGGAGCTGGTCTCAAAACTGCTAAAATAACACTTTTCTAATTCTTCTGCTTCAAAGTAACTTTTCATTTGGAAATGTAAGCTCATAACAGCTCGGCTTCTTGACCACTTCTCCTAGTGAAAACAAAACACCAGAATTAAAGTAACAAAGTGCTGTGACCTAAAGCAAAGGTTTTACCCCCTTTTTCAGGTGTCAGTTTTCCACTCCAGCCCAGGACGGCTGGTTCAGGTCCCTTCTGCTTCGCTTCAGAAGGGAGGACGGTGTGGTTCAGACCCAAAAACTGCTTGGGGAGGGGGGAGCCGTGCTTTGCTCAGCTGGGCCAGGCGTGGGCGAAGGGCAGGCAGGAGCCGGGATTTGGTTTTTCCGGAGCTGCTGGGGAATTGCAGACACCTCGGTGTTGGTGCAGCGGGGGTGAGCTGGCAGAGATGGCTGAGGGAGATAGGGAGAACCTCAGGAGGCCACGGGAGACGGGAGGCTTGGCTGGCCCGAGCGGAGCCGGGCTCTTATCGCCACCACGGTCTCTGTAAGAAGGGCTTTGGGAAACCCACGTGTTGCCAGATCTCAGCCCTGATTATTTTCTTCAAAATAAAAGGCATTATTTTCGTACTGGGAACCTCCACTTCAGCGCTCTCCCTCCTCCCCTCTCTGTCTCTCTCCCACACGCACACGTTTTTTGCTGCCTTGGGGGTTTTTTAGCAGCGCAGGGCTCTGAAAAACAGATTCCTGCCTCCTTCCTGCAAGAGCAGGGAAAGGGAGATGCTCGCTCGGTGCTGGGCTGTGGGTTAAAGTTTCCAGCGTTGTGGAAAGAGAACCAGAAAACAGCGATTCATCCCAGAGTCGCGAAGCCTAAAAGTCGGGTTTCTTCTGCCGTTTTGTCTCACAGGGTGGGTGTCAAACGCCGTGAGCTGGCACCTGGAGAGGCTCCAAGGCTGGGGGACCACCAGAGCCGGTGCCACCGCTGCCACCCCGGCCCTCGGTGCTTAATCCCAGCCGAGGGCTCTTGGAGAGGAGTCCTCAAACAGCACCGCGCTTGGAATAAGCCGGTTTCCATCTGAGCCGTGAGCCTGCAAAGTGCCTGCGCCGCGCCGAGCCGGGCAGACATGTGTGTGCGTGTGGGGCTGGATGTTGATTTTTCCCTGAAACAACTCAAGGCTTTATCGGTCCCATCTCTTTCCCACGGTTTTCTGTTGCCAGTGAGGTCACTGGTCCCTTTAAACTGGGGCTGAGGCCAATGTGCAGCGGGTGGAAGGGGGGCCGTGGGCAGGAGGGGGGGACATGAGACGGTTCACACAGACTGTTCCTTTTACAGGAAGACTTGGGATTTCGACCAGCGAGCGGGAGGAGGCGGAGGGGCGAGGGGGGGCCCTGGGAACCGGGGAGCGCCGGCGCGGCCGCGTAATCCGTCACTCCCGGGAGATGGTGGCTCATTAACCCATTACCCGGGAGGTGGGGACGTGCCGGGAGGGAGCCAGGGAACGAGAGCCGGGGGTGGGAGAGGCAGAGCGGGCAGGGGAGGAGCCGTGCGGGGCCGGAGCGGCGGAGCCCGGGCAGGGACAGAGCACTGCCCCGAGCACGGCGGGCAAGGACGGCGGCGGCCACCGGGGCCACGCGTGGGGCGAGCTCGCCGAGCCCAGCGGCCTCTCCCCCAGCCAGGATGAAGCGGCTCTGCGAGGAGAGCTCGTCCGACACCGAGTCTGACGGCACCATCGACGTGGGCCGGGAGGAGGAGTACAGGTGAGGGCAGGCTGGGTCCCACGCGGGTTTTTGGGGTCCCGCTCCTCGGTGCCTGCCGGGGCACGGCACGGGAGGGCACCGGAGCTGCCACCGCCGCACCGGGACTGCCTCGCACCTCGCTCGGGGTCGGGCTGGTCCTGCGAGGACCGACAGGATGACTCCAGAGTGCCGGGCAGAGCTGGTGCTGCTCATGGGCTGACCCCGCAAGAAAACCGAAGTGGCCGTACAAGTGTTAAAGCTGTGCTAGGAGCTTCAAGAGAATCCCATTAAAGCCAGCGCCGTGGCCTTCTCCTGCCAGGTGGGAGAAGGGCAGTAGGAGCCCGTTCTCTGCGCCCCCAGACGGGGCAGAGACACCCACACCCCAGGGCTCCCGGGGAATGTGGAGGAAACCGGGAGCTTTTCCGTGAGAAAATCTCTTCTGCTCTGCTGATGCATTCGTAACGCACCAGCTGGGGCTGGGATGTGTTAGGGAGGGAGCCCGAGCAGGCAAGGGCTGCCCTGGTGCCCCTCGGCAGCCTCTGTCCCATCACTGCCGGGCTGCGCTTTCAGCTCTGGGGCTTTGCTTTGGGAGGGAATGGCGAGGACAGGAGCCGAGGGAATGGTGAGGACAGGAGCTGTGTGTGGTTCCCCAGGTGATGCCCTCAGGCTTCCCCTGGCACCGCGTTCCCAGGCTGGGTCAGCCCTCCCCAGGCTCCGAGGGTGCAGACGGCACAGGGGATGAAGAAAAGGCTTTGTTATTTGTTCCCACCCAAAAATCAGCTGCTTTTAAACTCTTGTTTCAGTAGCCAAGTGTTCCCCCTCCCTCAGCATCCAGTGAGGCCTTGGATTAATTCATTCCCTCTTGCTCTTTGGTATCCTGAGTGGAGAAACTGCCTGGCTGGTGCCAAGCTCAGGCTCTCGTGGGACTAAATCCATGAATCTGCTTCTGATACAGTCGCAGCAGAGTCGGGCATGTCTTACACAAAATGTCCTGCAGAAATTCCCTGAGCCCTTAGGCAGTTTCCAAGTGCATCAATATTTAAGTTGCTTTCCTTCTGCAGGTGAAATAATATCCCACCTCTTCACATCAGTGCAGCACAGAGTCCATAGGACCCCGAGGGATAAAATACTGGGATTGTCAGGATATTTTATTTCGGTGACAAGTAATGATGAACTTTTAATCTCTCCCTGGTGCTGCTAATGTGTTTGTCTTCTGGAGGCAGTGGTAGAACCAGGCTGGCTGTGATCTGGCGATATTCGTATAGGTGGATGTTGTTCCTCATGTCACGCAAATCTACGGCCAAAAGAGCTGTTCCTGCCCTGCTGAGGTCACACCCCAAGTAATGCCATCCTGCTTGGGGTGCTGGTGCACCCAGAAAAAATCAAACACTGCCAGGTGGGGAGTGAGGAGGAGTGATTAGAGCAGAGAGAGGCTGCCTGGCTGGGCTTCCCATCAGTTGAATGCTTCGGGCAAACCAGTTTCCCTGTAGGGAAGGGGGTGAGTCACGGTGGGTGTGAGGCTTGGATCAGTGCGTGGAGCAAATTTAGGCTCTGGGGTCACTGCAGAAGTGCAAGATCTGCTCAGTTCACAGCCAAAGCTGTGCTGTGCATGATAAAACCAAGCAAAGAGCAGAAATGCAGAAATTTTAATCACCGGAAAAAATACTCACACTATCTTTTATGTGGTTCAAATCCACCAGATGCTTTTTAAAAATACATTTTACAGTGGAGACGGGTGTTGATATCCACATCTGGACCTGGAGCTCACAAAGAGCAACGCTTCCAGACCTCTCTGCAAAGAGAGTTTCAAAAATCACTATTCTACTTTGCATTTCCAGGTGAATTCAGCACCCAAAACACCCCGGTGCCCACGCAGAGCCTGTTTTCACATCAAAATTCCTCATTTTGTGTGTGTTTGTGTAGCTGGCATGTTAGTACTTGTAGAGCCAGCCAGCACCTCTGCCCAGAGAGAGCCCACCCAGCAGACATTCAAATAGGGGACCTGTATGGAGATGAGTAGAAGAACGTGTTATTGTGTAAAACCACTTCTGAAAGTGCCTCGCTTGAGCCTATTTTTAATAGGCTGAGCTGGGTCTAGTTCTCGGCTCGCTGCAGACAGGAAAATCCTTAATAGACTCCTATTAAAATGCTTTGTCTAACTGAAGTACATTTGGATTGGGGTGAACCCAAGTGCCCCTTTTCCAGATCTGGGTGTCTGACACGAGCTCTGGCTGGGATTGTGTTCACATCCCTGCTCCGAGTTTTGTAAGGAGCAGCAACAGCCCTGAGCCAGCTCCACTTCCCAGAGGGACAAATCCTACTTGGGGGAGGTGGGAGATGGCCCAGCCAGCCTCATCTTCCTCCTCAGCCACGGGGTCTTGCTCCAGGGAGTTTCCCACACCCATGGTTATGGAGATTTCACCTCCATGGGGACCTGAGGGTTGAACTTTGCCTCCCCCTGCGTGTCTAGAACTGACCTTTGGTGCCTTTAACCTGGCAGGCACAGGGTGTTTGTTCCTTAGGCTGTCCCCACGATGTCCCTTGTCCCCTGAGCAGAGCTGTGAGCCAGCAGGAGGGTCCCTGCTCTGTCACCTCCTGTCAGGTGTCCTCCCTGCTCCACTCGGAACGGTTCAGGGGCATCCGTCAGTTCAGCCCACCCCAAAAATTGTGGTTTGGGAAACGACTCTCTGGGAAGCCCTCAAAAACCACATCAGTGCCACCACTGGCCTCACCCTGAGGAGCAGCCAGCCCTCCCTGGGTGGGAGCTGGGATCCCAGAACTCAGATCCCTCCTGCTATCGTGGCTCCGAGACACAAAGCCCTGCAGACAGGGCAGGCTCAGACACGAGAGACAGGAGGTTCACACATGGAGGAAAAAAGGCCGTGACTCCAGAGCTCAGGTCGCTGCTTTTCCAGCCCCGTGGAGATACCATCAAAGGTTGGGATTGAGGAATTGTGCCTGGGAGTGGATGGATAGTTTGGTGCAGAAATCTTTCCCAGGCTGGTGGGTGATTCTCGGAGGGGAGAGAGTGGGATTCAAGTCTCTGCTTTGCTCCCCCATCCCCAATTCCTGAGCTCTGTGTTGTGGGTAAAAATGAGATGGGAACCACAGAATCCATTTTTTTTTGGGGTGGGGAGAGGAAACTGCAGATGGCAAATGTGTGTAGAACATATGTGCAGCAGAGGTTGCTCTCCAGCCAGAAATGATCCCCTCTCCTTCCTTTCCAGCCACGTTTCCAGGTCTGTGTCTCCCACCACGACATCTCAGATACAAGCCAGGAAGAAGAGGAGAGGGGTGAGTGTCCTTTATGATGACCAGGGCAGCTGTTGGCCCATCCTTACTGTTTTTTACACCCCTCCTGCTCCACCTTCAGCAGAATTCTCCCCAAAACCAATTTTTTTTCCCGGAGTTTTGCCCTCAAACCTGGCAGAAAGGGGGAGAGCAATTTCACCTGGGCTTATCACACCAACTCACGTTTCTTCACTCAACTTTTGCGCGCCAAAACATTGACAAACACGGCCCTTCCAAAGCACCTGGAGGGCTTTAGATGTGTGAGCTGGGGCTGTAAAGTGACTGTGGTTTCTTCTGTCTGCTTGGAAATCAGATCATCGAGAAGCGGCGCCGGGACCGCATCAACAGCAGCCTCTCGGAGCTGCGGCGCCTGGTGCCCACGGCCTTCGAGAAGCAGGTGGGTGTTTGTGGGAGCCCCTGGTGCCCCCCCGTGAGGGCTGAAGGGTTTGGGGTGCAGCCTGAAGGATGAGGGAGTCTGGAGCAAGGCTATGCCTTTCTTACCATCCTCACTCCAGGGAGTAAGTAGGTGGTGGAAATGGGGTGGTGAAATGATATTAGTAAATATTCAGGAGCCCTGGGGAGGATAAATTCAATCTAGGAAGTGTTTTGCAGATAGGAGGAAGCAGAGAAATAGGGATTTTTTTTTTTTCAGTCTGTATTGGGAAGGAGATCTTTTTTCTGCTCGCTTGGTGTAAAAAACAGAGCCCTGGTGGATGCCCTGCGCCATTCTGAGCACTCCTGGACTTCAGGGAGGAAATCAGTGGTCAGACCCCAGCTCCTGAGAGGCACAAAGCCCTGGACCATAAAATGACAAATGACTTTTCCTTTCTGCTCCCAACACAGGGATCTTCCAAGCTGGAGAAGGCAGAAATTCTACAAATGACAGTGGATCACTTAAAAATGCTTCATGCCACAGGAGGAACAGGTAAGAACTGCTCTTATGGGCACGTGGGTGAGGTGAAGGTGCAAACCTGGAAGGAAAATTCCTCATCATCATCAGCAGCAAGCTGCCCCCAGCCAGCTCTGCCTGCTTCCCAAGGGAAATATCTTTTGAGGGAGAGCAGATGGGCGTTTTCCTACAGCTGGGTCAGCATCCCATGCATCCATCTGGGAGACTGGGGTGTGTGGAATGGTGAAGCCCCAGCACCACAGGGACAGCACTGTTGGTGTCACACCCCCTGCTAAAAGCTGTTTTGCCAGAAACTCATTTATTCCTGCTCAGAAGTGGAGCCTGCTTCCAGAAAAACCATATTAAACTCTTTACCTCCTCCCTGGGATACATTTCCTGTGGAGGCTGAATTCTGCATGAGGACTCTGCAAATAAACAAGGCTTTTTTTCCCTTTCTGTTCTTTTTTTTTTTGTGTGTGTGTGTCTCTTGGTTGTTATAAGAAGAGAGAGGGAGCCCTGTGCAAAATTCAACAAAGGTCTTATTTGTACTGAGACCTCAGTACAGACCCTCTGTCCTGTTCCAGTTAACAGGATGGAGATCACAGCTCCAGTAAAGAAGCCTCTGGCTTGCTTACCACCCAGTTTTGGCTTGCTGGGGACATTGCTGGCATCCAGGCTTTGGTTCAGGGCTGTAACTTGGTCTGGAACATTTGTTTAGATATTCAGTTTGACTGCACTGCAACAAAGGGCTGCATTGTCACGAGAGACCCCGTCAAGCACAGTGGTCCAGCGCTTCACTGTGCTGTGACATTCTCTGCTTTATTGCTTATGGTCTCATGAAGCTGCAAGTTGGGAGCAGAAGCCTGAAAATCAGCGGTTGGTTGCTGATTTCTGTGGCTTTGAGCTTTCTCAGCCCAGCTATTTTGGTTCTGCCACTGCCCTGTGACATTGGTTTGAAGGGAATGCAAATTTTGGGAGCCAGGCAGAGGGAAGTGGTGCTAAGGTGTGGCTTGAAGAGACACTGCCCAGAGTGGAATATCCCAAACTGGGCAAAGGCAGCCCAATCCCAGTGCCCACCTAGCCCACAGCCGTGTCTCCAGCTGTGAGAACTGATAGAACAGGAAAAAATTCTCCCTTCCCGAGCACAGCTAATGAAATCTGTTACTGGTCTCGCAGGGAGTGAGAGGCTCCCTGACCCTGGAGGGTTTATCCCGGTGAGATAAGCGCAGAAGCCGCTCTCATGCACGCTCCAGCCCCTTGGGACACCCACTTGGCTGCCTGCTTCAGGCAGCAAAGTGCCTCAAGTGAAATACACAGTGCATTAGAGAGGGTAGTGAAATCCAAGCGCATTCCTGAGCTCTGCCTTACTGTCCCCCGTGTCCTCTCCCTCCAGGCTTCCTGGATGCCCGGGCTCTGGCCGTGGATTACAGAAGCATCGGCTTCCGCGAGTGTCTCACCGAAGTTGTCAGGTACCTGGGCATCCTCGAGGGCCAAAACGCTGCCGACCCCATCCGGCTGCGACTCCTCTCCCACCTGAATAATTACGTGGCGGAAATGGAGCCTTGTCCCGTGGCCACGTCCCTGCTGCCCATCCAGACCTGGCCGTGGTCCTTCGCGCACGGCCCCGTGCAGATCCCCAGGAGGGAGGCTGCTCCCGCTCCGCTTGTTTTGACTGCATCTTCCTTGGCTTACCCCAGCCCTGCAGTGAGGCCGGCTCCTCTCCGCCGCATCCCCGGGGAGATGCTGCCGTCCCGCCGGAGCTTCCTGGCCAGCAGGATGGGCTCCTCCAGCCGGAGGGCCCGGGGAGCCGGCTCGGCCGCGGCCGTGCCCAGGATGCCGTCGCCAGCGGGAGCACTGAGAGAGGGCTCGTCCAAGAGCCAAATCGCCACATTCCTCTTCTCTCCAGCCTCTGCCGGCATCCCTGTGCCGCCAGCTTACGCCGCACCTCCCGTCTTGGGCGCTGCCGCGCAGGGACCAGGGATCAGGGTTGGGACATCCAGGATCTGCCGCTCATGGGCGACGGAAATCGGGGCTTTCTGACCCTGCCTTCCCCTCCGGAGACAGGAGTTCTTCAGCGTTCATCGCCCGCAGGGCTGAGAACAAACTCGGTTCAAAAGGCATCTTTCCTGCTTTGCAGAAGCCAAGGATCCGTAGAGAAAATTCTCTCTGCTCTTCCCTCCCTCCTTGCACCGCCCTCCTCGCCTCACCATCACACGTCCTCTTCCTCGTGGTGCCTGCAAACGTAAATCACATCCAATTCCACGTGTGCACGAGGCCACACTCCAGACCCTTCTGGCTACCAGGGAGGGGGCACACGCAGATCCCAACCCCGTTCCTCCTCCAGCAAACCCCTCTGCAGAACCCAGCCTTGCTCTCCTTTGGAAAACAGCCAAAACCAGCTTGGAACACTGTCTTTATTTCCCTGGGGACTCAGAGCTGCCAGCCAGACTTGCTCGTGCTGATTCCCTGAGGCGCATCCCCCCAGCTGCAGCACCTAATTTTGGTGTGGTGGGATGGACACAGCTCACAGCCCGTGCCCAGCACTGCTGGCACAAGGCAAGCTCCGGCTTCCCCAGCTCCCGAAGAAAACTGGCTGCCTGCTAATCCCTGTGCTTTCCTGTCTGCATTACCAGCTTTTCCCACTTACGTGCCCTTAAGGTGGAGTGAGGCAGAGGCTTAGCAGGGCTGGTTCCCACAGCCCGGCTGAGATCCTGCCGTGGCTGCAGGGTCTGTGCTGGGTTCCTGGCACAAACCCTGCCCGAGCCCCGCACCGAGCTGTGAAGAGGTGAGACAGGATATCAAAGGGAAGCCTGTCATGGAGGGGAAGGCCCTGACAAAGTGAGAAGAAAATGCCTTTCCCTCTGCCAGCCTCCCTGCTGGAGCTGTCTCTCCTCCACCCCCCTGCTGAACAGTGGTGACTGCAAAGGGGAAAAATGGGTTGGAGCAGCCTGAATTTGAAGTGCCTCCCTCATTCTCCCCGAGCCCAGCATCCCTCACCTTCCCCCCACACAGTGTCTCAGTTTTCTTTCTCCAGCACCGTGTTTGGGTCTCACACCTCTCATCCCCTCCCTGGGCCAAAAACCCACTGAGGTGTCACTGCACTTTTCCAGAGTCCCTAGCTGACTGACACAGCAGATCACACCTCTGCTCCTGCAGCTGGCCTCCCCTCCTCTCTTCTTTGGGCAGAAAGAACAGAAACTTGAAGCTTTCAAGCCACCCTGCCCCTGTGCCACGAGCACAGGGTGTCCCAGTGCTCCCCCTCACCCCAACAGCTCCCTGCATTTGTGCCTTGACTTGCTGGGATGCACATGCAGAATATTCCGGACCCAGCTGCACGCCCAACCCTTGCCCACCTCTACAGCACTCTGACATGGAAAGAGAGAAAAGCTCAGTGCAAAAGAAAGGTAAAAAAAAGAGGGAGAAGATCTCTTTTGAATGGGAGGAATTCTTCCCATGCCTCAGGTCGTTGGTGCAGCCGGTTGGGCTGTGTGGATGAGCTGTTGTTTTCCTTCCTGCAGATGGTATCTGCCATGTGCATGCCAATGTATGTATCTGCCACTGTTTGGGAAGTCAGTCCCTCCCAGTTGTTTTGATGGAAGTCATCGAATTTAACACACAGAAATGCCTCTGCTGCTTCTCACTCTTGTCTTCAAGTGCTGGAATCAGCCAGGAACGACATATTCCCTTTAAATAAAGTCACAGGAGGGAAATCCTCGTGGCCCCTGGCTGTTCCTGCAGCTGGTTTGTGCACTAGAGCTCACGGCCTCACTTTACACTGTGCAGTGCTCTTAGATTCACGAGCTGTGACATCAGCAAAGGTGTCAAATAAAGTCTTTCAAACCCCTGTCCTGGCTGTGAAATGTAGTGTTGGAGTGAACCCACTCTGCTCATCCAGCCTGCCTGGATCATGGAAGGGACCTGTGAAGGTCGTTGATGAGTAATTTTGAGGGAGGTTTTGATTCCTGAAAAGCTCCAAAAATAAGGTAAGATGCAGCTTTTAATGTGACATCCCCTCTGATCATTTTATAACTCTTGGTCATTCTGGCCCCAAGACTTTTTACTTTGGAAAACGACTCAAAACCAGCTGGATATTCACCAAGGCTTGCCCTGAGATTGGCAATAATCCATCACTTGAGAAGAAATAATTTAAATTAGGGTCTACAAAAGTGTCAGGGAACAGATGGGGTCTGGCAGAACTTTGCAGCCAGACTGAGGGCTCGCTCTGGTCTCCTGACCCTTTGCAGCCAGGACCAGAATAACCCCCGCGGCATCTCGCTGTCGGGAAACGCTTTGGACTAAACAAAGAGCCACAGCTGAGAGCCTGTCTCTGTTTTGAGGAAAGGACCAGTAAATGATCCCTCTTCGTGAAAGATGCTTGGGAGAATTTTCCTGGGGAATGGTGGGAATTCAACTTCCTTTCCCATAACTCCTTCTGGCTGCAAAATGCCTTTCAAAACCGCCCATAAATCCCTCCCTTAAGTGCTGTGTGGGGAATTGCTGGAAGGGAGCAACTGCAGCTGTGCTGGAGTAATGCAGCATCCGTCTGGAAGTGGGGAGAAACTTCAGGAGCAATAATAGGGCTATTGATGATGGGTCATCCCTCTGGTGCCTGAGCTGCCCTGACCCGGCTGGAGGCAGCGGTGGGAGCTCAGCGCTCTTGGCGTGGCCAGAGAGAGGAACCGAATTAAACCCCTGTGGGAGGCAGGCCCACAAACCAGGCCTGAGGGCTACAGTGCTAAAATAAAACAGAGAAACAAAATAGAGACAGCGTGGGGGGGGGAAAAAAACCACCAAACAACCCTTCCTGATCTCCACGGATCAAACAGGAGCCAGGGCGGGTGGAAGGGCTTTGGTTGAGGGTTTTCTCCCCACTGCAACACGGTGATTATAGAGCAGTAGCTCAGGACTGCAGCTTCATTTAATTTTATTTTCTTTTCTCAGGGTTTTCTTTAGCCTAAACTCTAATACATCCTGGCAACTTTTGATCTACCCTGCAGGGGAAATCCCCGAACTCTCCGTGCACTTCCTTCATCCTTGTTCTTCAGGCAAAAAAAAAAAAATAAATCCTGATGGAGAGGCCTGTGGGGAAGCGTGGGCTGGGACTGCTCGGTGTTAAACAAGGCTCTCACCCCGGCTGGAACAAAACAAGGTCCTGATGAACGAGTTTGGAGGGGACAGGGACACTCCCAGGCTGTGGGAGATCTGTGCAGCAGGTGCTCCAGGAGCGAGCCCTGCTCTCCCAAACTCCCCTGCATGAAAAATATTGCTTATCTCAGTTCTGCTGCTGTCTGCCCTGGGTGAAATGTTCTCCCGCCCTTCTGCTCCTGGAGCAATCCCGCCCTGCCATCTGCCGGTGAAATCCTAAAGCCGAGGGGGAGAAATCCTACACGGGGAGCAGCATTTGGTTGAAAACCTTCCATCTGCGCTGAGAATGGGGTGATCTTTTAGGGTGATTTCAGCACTCCCAAACCCAGAGCAGCTCGGGAGGCCTCTGGGTGATGGATGGGTCACCCAGCAGTGTTGCCACTGAAGATGAATAGATCACACGGACACAGGTCGAGGTGTGGTGAAAAGAAGAGAAAGTTTATTTTTCCTCCCAGGATTTATAGGCTTCTAACCCCAGCCAGGGATGGGATGGTCAGGATAACACTTTCCCACTGCACTGGCCATGAGAGATGCCCATCACAAGACAACAGAAAGAATGTACACATATCTATGTTTACAGTTCCTGTCCTGGGAAAGTCCTTAGAAAACCATGTCAGCAAGCTCAGAAGCTGAGTTTTCAGGGTGACACACCAGCACCACGGATGGGGATGGACTGGTGTGATAAAGCCATTATCAGATGTCCCCTCTGCTCCAGGCGATGCTGAAGCTCCGCTGGGAGGATCTCAGGTATCGCTGCTCACCAGGAGCAGCTGCACTCGTGTGTTGAGAGCACCAAGAGCAGTGGGGTCCCTGGGGGCAGTTTTGTGCCCCCAGCCCATCAGTCAGTGTGGGGAGTGAAAAGGATGGAGCAGCACACAGGACCTTGGCTGTCTGCACAGAGTCCCCTGGGAGGGAACACAAATGTCACTGAATATGTTTCAAATCAGAGCCGTTCGCAGCGTAGCCACAGCGGCTGCCGCAGCCAAAGGGCGTTTTATGTGGAAACACGCTCTGTGAGCTGGGCTGTGTTTTGACTTTAGCTGTCAAAGCAGGAGCTGAACACTTCCACGGCGACATGCCTGTGTCAGTCCCTGGTTTCCCAGCGGAGGAGGCGCCAGCTGTGAAGGACCAAGCACAAAACAGTGGCAGGTGTGATCCCACCAGTGCAGCACTGTCAGCTGTTGGGAGAACGATGAGACCAGGAGGAGGAGGAGGATTTGTGCCATTTGCGTTTTCAAGGCAGAAAATATTGCAAATCACTACAATTTGCTTTGCTATTTTTACCTTTATTCTGCTACTCTCGATTATTCCACTGTATCGCGTTCCATTTTTATGGTAACGTTGTATTCTGCTTTTAAAGCAAATTAAAGGCAATTAAACAATTGAAAAGCCACAATGCCCAGTTAACCAGTGTCTATCTTAGTCCCCCTTAACAGGACTGAGCCTGAAGGTCACTGATGAATCACTGAATCCTGCACTGCCGTGTCCTTACGCTCCGCTGAAGATGCTAGAAATAGATAATTACGGGTCTCCCTGGAGCTGATCTCGTGAGCGTGAAGCCACAGGACAGCAGCAGAGAGGGGGGCGAATCCCTCTCCCATTCCAGCAGCTTTCTGCTGGGAGTTGTTTAAGCCTCAGCCCAGGAAGAGGGACTGACAGCTCGCTTCCATGGGGAGACATCAGGACCCTTGGTCCCGCTCCAGGGCAGCCCACGATGGGAGCTGGCACAGGAACTCGTGCTTATTTGAGGAAAAATGATGCTCTGAAGAGGAGGAGGTTGTGGGAACAGCTCCAGCTCTGACCGCTCCTCATCCCGCTGCCAGTGACACCTCCAAAAGCAGAGCTCGGGGCAGTGAGAATGGTCACAGAGGAATTGTTTTGCTCTCCTGGTGCATTCCTCTGCTCAGCCTGCTCCTTGCCCTGGCCAGCCCCATAGCCCCGCTTTCCCCAGGAGGCTTCCCTGGATTTTTTGTGTTTTATGGTGGGACTGAGCTGCCCTGTGAGACATCTGCACATATAGGATGGGGTGGGAGGGAAAACAACCCCAAAAACTCTTCTTGTTTGTTGCTGTGGATCCATCTCTCTGCCAGCTGCCCACAGGGGATTGTTTGTCCCTAAATCTGTCTAAACGTCGAGATGAAACTTTTATTGTAGTTTAATGGCTGTTGCTCCTTGCTGGGAAACGCTGAACAGAGTCTGTCACCATCCCCTGACACCCCTTGGAGATATTTTATGGATTAATGGGATCCCCTCTCAGCCTTTCCCTTCTCCAGACTGATCAGGCCCAGCTCCCGCAGTCTCCCCTCATGAAGGCGATGCTCCAGACCCCAAACCATCTTTGCGGCCTCCACTGCAACCCCTCCAGCGCCTCCTCGCCTGAAACTAATTAGTGAACCAACACAATTTCCAACAACTATTAACTTTAATCATCCCCAAAGCCGGCCGCTTCTCCTGTGGCGACCCCGAAATGGCGGGACCCCGGCGGGTCCTCCCGCCCGCTGGGGGGCGCTGCGTGCGGCGCGGGGCGCTCCGGGCCGGGCCCGGCCGCCTCCTCTCGGCGGCACCGCGGCCCACTCGCGCCGCCGCGGCGCCTATAAAGGGCCGCCCGCCGCCGCCGCCACAACCCGCCGCCCCTCCGCCCGCCGCGGCCGCACCGCGTGAGTCGGGGTCGGGCCCGGAGCCGCCGACCCCGCCCCGGGTCGGTGCCGCTGGGTAGGGAGGGCTCGGGGGAGCGCGGTGCGCCGGGAGAGCGCGGCGGCCGCGCCCCTGCCCGCCCGGCCGCCCTCAGGCCGCCGCGTGCCGCGCCGCCTCAGCCGCTCCGGTTTATTTATAATACCTTCGGGCTATCTAGCCGAGCCGATTTTAAAAGAAATAGTTATATTAGCTCGTGTTTGAGGTTTATTTATATGTCTATATATTTATTTGTTTTTTATTTCCTCAGAAAATCAACGCGCCGCCGCTCTGCAGAATCTGGGCTAAACCGAAGCAAAAAATAAGAGACGTTGGGGTTTAGGAGGTTTTTGCCTCAAAGCTCTCGGGTGCTGGCGTATGAATTTTGGCGTCTTATCCGATCCCTGCTCTCCAGGAGGCTTAACTTTGGGGTGTTTTTGCTGATTTTTCAAGCTTGCACAACGCTCTCAGCTGCTCTGGGCTGGTGCCTGGCCTCCCGCCAGCCCCCTTGTCCCAAGCTTCTGCAGGCCGCAGCTTAGGCTTTAATTAAGAGTTTGAGTGTTCCCCCGGCATTAATATTTAAAAGAAGCTTGACTTGAGACCCCAAGTGAAAAAAACCCCCGTGGGTTGAGAGCGCCGAGGGGAGGATGAACACGGCCGCCAGCAGTTACCCCATGGCCTCGCTGTACGTGGGGGACCTGCACCCCGATATCACCGAGGCCATGCTCTATGAGAAGTTCAGCCCGGCTGGCCCCGTGCTGTCCATTCGGGTCTGCAGGGATATGATCACCCGCCGCTCCCTGGGCTACGCCTACGTCAACTTCCAGCAGCCCGCAGATGGTAAGTGACAATTGCAGCCACATCCATGGCTTCCCCCACTTAATTTTAACTCGTTTTTCCCCACTAATTCACGTGTTGCCATGTAGCTGCCCACCACAGCGTTACAGGGCGAGTCGTCCCTTTCTGGTGATTGCAACAGGAGCTTTTTTTGCGGCTTGGTGTCTACAAAACGCTCTGCAAATGTACTTGTT